TAATGTCCTGAGAGCGCACGCTGTAGCTGCACTCATGCAGAGACATGTAGGAGGAGATGTATGAAGGCAGCAGACCAAGAAGTGATTTAAAGATGAAAATGTACCAGTGAGAGAGTCTGCGTGAAGTTAATGGTGCCCACTTAACTAGTGAATACAGGGCGCAGTGGTGGGTACGATAATCACAGCCAGTTATGAATCTTAGTGCACCATGATAGACAGTGTCTAACATCTGCAGAGTGCTTGTAGGAGCATTCATGTAAATAATATTACCATAGTCATTGGAGGGAAGGAAAGTCGCAGTTACAAGGCGTTTCCTAGCATTCAGCGTTAGACTGGATCTATTTCTGAAAAAGAAACCCAGTTTAACTTTCAGTTTCTTTACTAGGTTTTCCACGTGAAGTTTAAAAGCGAGATGTGAGTCAACCAAGATACCCAAATATTTATAGGAATTGACAAACTCAATAGGGACACCATTTGAGGATTAAATCAGAGGAAGAACTACTGGGACCGACTTCTAGTTTGAAAAAAGCATCCCTTTGGTTTTGTTGGCGTTTAGGACAAGTTTGAGACATGTCTGGATGATGTTGAATGCAGATTGCAAAAGCTGGAAAGCCTTAGCAACAGTTTTAGCTCGACAATAAACAACTGTATCATCAGCATAGAAATGTAAGGATGCATCAGGGATGCTCTGACCTACATTACCTATGTAGATTGTATAGAGGGTGGGTCCTAAGACTGAGCCTTGTGGTACACCATTGTTGACTGTTAAATAACTGGAAGAAGTACCATTATGTTGAACACATTGACTCCGGTCTGAGAGATAGAGAACCAATCAATGGTGTGATCTGAGAAACCAATTTCTGAGAGCTTATGACACAAAATGTTATGATCCACAGTGTCAAAAGTTTTAGACAGGTGTTGTAAGTAAAGTCCATCCATCCATCCATTATCTTTACCCGTTTATTCTGTTTTTGGGTCACGGGGGTTGCCGGTGCCCATGTCCACCATGTACACCCTGGACGGGTCGCAAGTCCACCACAGGGCCACATAGAGACAAACGAGACAACCATTCACTCTCTCACTCACACCTAGGGACAATTTAGAGTTACCAATCAGCCTAACATGCATGTTTTTGGTCTGTGGGAGGAAACCGGCGCACCTGGAGAAAACCCACGCATACACGGAGAGAACATGCAAACTCCACCCAGAAAGGCCCCTGGACTGGGGTTTGAACCAAGGACCTGCTTGCTGAGAGGCAGCAGCTCTACCAGTTGCGCCACCGTGCTGCCTTGTAAAGTGCAGCACAATAATCCTTAGCATCCAGTGCTTCAACAACGTCATTAAGAACCTTCAGTGAAGCAGTGGTTGTGCTGTGTTGTTTCCTGAAACCAGATTGACGGAGAGGTAAAATGTTAAACGAGTCCAAATACTTTTTGATTTGAAAGTTTATCAGTTTTTCTAGAGCCTTGGCTAAAATGCAGAGTTTAGAGATTGGTCGATAGTTGTTCAGTGAGGTGGGGTCACCTCCCTTCCACCAAAGAAATTGAATGAACTTTACAACTTTACAATCAGAGAACAACTCCTTCCACTTCAAGTCTTTCTGCAGTTGATTCCTGAAGGAGCAGCAATCTGGAAGGATTTTTGTTGTACCGTATGTTCCACCGTACACGTTGCACCGCCCTATAAGTCGCAACAGTTCAAATATGTCTAATAAAGTGGAAAAATCCATAAATATGTCGCTTTGCCGTATACGTTGCATCTATTATGCGTCACCTCTGACGCATCACATTTGTTACGAGTCACCGCTGACAACCCGGAAATGTGGGCCGGTGTTGTGCCAAAATCTATCGGCTGCCAATTGGTGGCTGCGGGAGCGTGCACAGGACGATTTTAACAAGAATTTAACAAGATTAACACTTAAAAACTATTATTTGTTTGTTAGAAATTATAGTAAAGGTGTGTCTCAGTCTGACTTTTGCTTAATAAATGCACTTTGGAGGTCAAATCAGCTGTATTTCAAAAGCTGATACGCAGATGTAGGAACGATCAGAGGGACAAGTCGCTGCTCATTTCTTTGAACTTTAACAAGATAACCACCTAAAAACAATTATTTGTTTGCTCGAGTTTATAGTAAAAGTGTGTCTCAGTCTAACTTTTACTTAGTAAATTCACTTTAATGGTCAAATCAGTTGTATTTTGCAATTTTGCAATTTTGCAGTGCAGCGAAATGAAACTAATTTGACGGTTGGTCCAAGCGAGCAGAACGAAGGTGGCAGGCTATGGCAAGCCGATTGTGTCATTAATAGCCACTTTTACCTACTACATGATACAACAGCATGCCATACTACTTGATTGCCATCTAGTGGCTGAAGATGGTAGTGTTCAATATTTTCAGTCAGAATGAATGAAAACGGTCATATTTCAGCCAAACATTGGTTTATAAATATGGGGAGAAAAAATCCACATATACGTTGCTTCGGCCTATAAGTCACAGGGCATGCAGATTATGCAAAAGAAAACAAAAAACAACTTATAGGCCTAAAAATACGATAATCTGAAATGGAGTGACTGAGGTTTTTTTGTTGTTGGTTTTTTTTTCAGCTCAGATTTATTTTAGACACCATTTGATATTTCTTCAAGCCTTTTATTTGAAAATTTCCTTTTTATTCTGACTAAATCTGCCGATTATCCATGCTGCTGATTTCTTGCCTTTAAGCTGCTGTATTCATACCCATCTGCTCACAACAGACTCATGTTCAGACTGCTGTTTAATATACCGTATTGTATTACATTATTATTATTTAGCGTATTTCTTAGATCCTTGTATACTGTTTATTTTAAAGTTTATATTTTTGCTATTTTTGGTTGTAACTAGGACCTTGTCAGAGTCAGAGTCAGAGTTTCTTTATTGTCATTCGCACCTCATGTGGTACATGTGGTGGAGCGAAATTATGTACACAGGGTCCCAGTTACATCCAACAATAAAATGTATAAGAAAAACAGTAATAACATCTAAGATATGAACTAAGAAAAACATCAACTAAATATACACTAAGCACTCATAACATAAAACATTGAACATCAGCACAAACATGAACATGAGTCTGTGAGCAGATGTGCACGCATGAACACATCAACATTGAAACAGATCAGCAGCAACATGAAACAGATCAGCAGCAACATGATATGGTTTTACACAGTGATTATTCTAGTTAGAGATTCATGAGTCTAACAGCCTCAGGGTAGAAGCTGTTCCTCAGTCTAGTGGTTCTACACTTAATGCTCCTTAACCTCCTTCCTGAGGGGAGTGGGGCAAAAAGTGTGTGTGCTGGGTGGGTGGGGTCCTTCATGATGCAGGTGGCCCTCTTCCTGCATCTGGAGGTGTAGATGTCTGTGATGGTGGGGAGACTGATTCCAACATCTTCTGTGCAGCCTTCACCACTCTCTGCAAAGCTTTTCTTTCTGCAGCTGTGCAGCCTCCATGCCACACGTTGATGCTGGAGCACAGGATGCTCTCCACTGAACACCTGTAGAAGGAGGTGAGGACTGAGCTTCCCAGACCAGCTCGCCTCAGCCGCCTGAGGAAGTAGAGTCTCTGATGAGCTTTCTTGATCAGGCTGGTGGTGTTGTTGCTCCAGCTGAGGTTGTCATTCATGTGTACACCCAAGTACTTGTAGCTGGAGACCACTTCCACCGCAGATCCTCTTATGTTCAGGGGGGTGTAGGTGTTTTTGTTCCTTCTGAAGTCCACAATCATCTCCTTTGTCTTCTTCACATTGATGTGAAGGTTATTCTCTCTGCACCAGCTCTCCAGGTGTTCCACCTCTTGCCTGTAGCTGGACTCATCATTGTTTGTGATGCATCCCACCACCGCTGTATCATCTGCAAACTTTACAATGTGACAGCCTGGATGGGTAGCTGCACAATCATATGTGAGCAGAGTAAACAGAAGGGGGCTCAACACACATCCCTGAGGAGAGCCAGTGCTGAGGGTTATGGTGGAGGAGGAGAGGTTGTGGATCCTCACTAACTGTGGTCTGTTTGTTAAAAAGTCTAGTACCCAGTTGCAGATGGAGGGGCTTAGTCCTAGTGTGGATAGTTTGTCCATCAGGGTTTGGGGGATCATGGTGTTGAAGGCGGATGTGAAGTCCACAAAGAGCATACGGACGTAAGAGTTTTTCTGCTCCAGGTGGTTGAGTGCAGTGTGGACTAAATTCAATTGTGTACACAATTTCGTTCCACCTCATGTACCACATGTGACCCAGAAGACAATGAAGAACCATGAACCTTTCTTTGCTTGTAGTACATCATCACACAGCAGACACTGCCATCTATTGGTTGAAAAGATGCAGAACTTTATGAAGGGTTTCCAACTTTCAAGGATTCAAGGTTTCTTTATTTGTCATTCGCACCACATGTGGTACATGAGGTGGAATGAAATTGTGTACACAGGGTCCCAGTTACATCCGACAAAAATGTAAAATGTAAAAGAAAAACGGTAATAATAATATCTAAGATATGAACTAAGAAAAACGTTAACTGAAATACACTAAGCACTAGTAGTATAAAAACAATACGCTGAACAGCAGCACGAACATGAGCAAACTTGTAAAACTTGTAAACTAATAGATACTTAGTTTCAGCCTTGGTATAGTATAGTTTTAGGTCAAAAGTCATATTTTCCCACAGTGACGGTTTGTTTTGTTTCTGTTTTGCAGGTCTGTAAAGAGTTTGGTCTGCTCCTGTGACTCGTCTACTCTTCATCTGTTCAGGACTTGCTAATACAGGAGCTGTTCTCATTAAAGACATTAACCTGTTCTAACGTTTATGAGGGAGGACTGGGGGGCTATGGCACCTGCTGTAGCAGAAAACGACCTCTGGACTCAGGCGTGTCCCAGTAAGGCCAGTTGGATCACAAATCTCTGCTTTAGAATCACAGTTCTGAGTGCCAGCCCTGCTCTCAGAAGTTAGGAGCACTACCAGAGGGCTGCAGACTGATGGTCCTTTGTCTGTGTTGGCTCAGGCTCTTGGCCCGAGTCCTCGTGCAGCTGCAGGGTCACCAGTCTTCGTCCTGTTAGACCATGTTCCGACAGCAGGACCATCTGCAGGAGAGCCTCCTAGCCACCAGGCAGCTTTTCCAGTGCCAGGACTGTGGAAAACAGTACAACACTCAGCTGGGTTACCGGCGCCACCTGGTGACCACCCACAGCGCCGCAGGGGGCCTGCCCTGCCCAGAAGAGCCCCCCTCCCTGTTGGAGACTCTGAGCGACCACAGCGACAGGCCTCCTTCATCAGAAGGCAGCACCAGTGTGCCCGTCAGAGAGAGGAAGTACTCGTGCGAGCGATGTGACCGCCGTTTTTACACTCGAAAGGACGTACGGCGACATGCTGTTGTTCACACCGGGCGCCGGGACTTTCTGTGCACTTGCTGCGCTCAGCGTTTCGGCCGTAGAGACCACCTGACTCGCCACCTGAAGAAGAGCCATGCACAGGAGTCGGGGGTGATGTCACCGGCCCCCCCCAGCACTCCTGCTGCTACTCTGAACCCCGCCTCACACTGTCCGGTGAAAGAAGAGCTCAGCCTGGTGACCTCTGACCTCACCTCTGTCACCAAGGAGCCCATGGAGCCTTTTGTCAGGGACCTGGGCCCCCCTTACACCAATCCAGTTGCAGGGGCGGGTCATTCTCAGGGGCTCATGCAGGGCTTGTTGCCTTCACCCATGGGGGTGGGTCATCACATGTCTACCCAGTCCCCCCACCCTCAACCCTTGCAGCCCCCAGCAGCCCTCCAGCAGCAATCCTATGGCTCTACCTCATACTCACGCTCCGACATGGAGAATTTCCTGCTGGACCTGCAGAGTGCACCCCCTCCACCTCAGCTGTGTGCTGTGAACACGTCTACCTCTGCTTCCCCTCAGAGGGAGGTGTTGTGTGAGGGCGACCCCCACTTACTGTCTCGGAGTCCCGCCCTCTCCACCACTGAGCTGTCCTGCTCCACTAACATGGAGCTAGGGCCCCTGCTCAGCTTCCTGCCCTTCAGTCTGCCCCCTTACAGTCCTCACATGGGAGTGGGGGGATTGGTGATGAGCTACCCACCTGTTGCCTCCACCACCTCTCCTCCATCCTCCTCCGCTGGGCTCACCTCTCAGACTTCGGGGCCCTTCTCGTTCTTCCAGCCCCCACAGGCTCACGTGCCCCAGGGCCCTGGGGTTCACAGCCAGCTACCTCAGGCGTACACTTCTGCTATGAGCACTTCCAGCCCTCTACCTCACTATTACCAGGCCTTTCAGCAGTGAGCCACTCAGCCACCACCTCCACAATCCTGTGCACTTATGTGTTGGACAGAAGAAGGGAGGAAACCATATGATAACTTTGTTTTCTTGTGAATCTCGCATGTTAACAACCATTCACCTCATCAGTATTACCTCATAACTGATAAACAAACTAGCAGGTGGTTCTGGGGAAGCTGGAAGCAACAGGCGTCAGAACCAAGCTAGCTCCTGTGAAAACTTCCTAAACCAGACTGAACCACTCTTTGATCTCTTCAGCACTTTCTGTTCAGAATTTAACTTTGTAATCGGCGCTTAGATGTGAAGTAAAAAGCCTTTTTCTGTTTTCTTTAGGACTTAAAAGCTTCAACTTAATTTTAGTGCAGTCAGTAATTAAAATAACCAGTAACTGCACTTAAAACTGACTGAAAAGTGTAAAATGAACAATTCAAATGTGACCTGAAGAATTCCATATGAAACTCTGAGTTCCCACCAAGCATGTGGGCTTTAGAAACCATGATTTTAGTGATTAGTAGATGAGCAATGAATTACTTTATGGAGTCAGCCCTGTTTAAGATGGTCAATGCAGCCAAACAAACTTAGCAAATATGAAACTGGCTGTAACTCTGCCAGTTTGACACAAGGCTCTTTCACTAAAAAATGGCTACAAAGACCAGTCGGTCTTGCTGCCTCTGAACGTTCACAGATCCCCAACAGAGCTGGCCATGTCCCACTAAGGTGGGAGCTTTCAGAGATGAAGCAAGCTCCACAGGAGCAGGAGAGACGTGGAGCAGAACTCTGCTGCGATGACTCGTGACATGATGTCTAGTCTCCTCCATATCATTGTTAAAAACATGATAATTAACTCCGTTCTCTTAAACGTATCTTTAAACTCAAAGTGAATGTGCTGTGGTTCATGATGGATCTCCCCTCTGTAATAAATCTGTTCTATAATTCAGGGACCCGGTGGTTCACAGACCAGATGTCATCACTTCACCACATTAATGAGCAGCAGCACTGGCTCACGGTTTCACATAGTGACCGTTTCGGCTCTAACTACCTCGCTTCAGGGTACAAAGTTACAAAGTTGCACCAGAGGTGGGTTGGCATCGAATCCCCATCACCTTGATTTATTCAGACATCACATTGAGGCAGCTAGAAAGAGTCCCAAGTCGTAGGATTGAGCTGAGAGTCATCCCTGATGCATACTCTGAGCACTTGTTGATTGTGTGAGAGCTGTTTCAAATGTTCCCATTAACTGTGCTGTCTGTTAGCAAAATATACCATGAACCACTGGATAGATTTTTAAAAATTTCTGAGAAATTAACAATTGGAGCCACTAATTAAAAAGTGGCTACCACTAGGCCTGTCACAATAAAAAATAAATCAATTAATTGCATGATAAATGAAAATTATTGACCTCATTTTCATCGGCTTTATCGTTTCTTCATGTCTCTCTCTTTCTACTGAAGATACTGGATGACAAAAGGCTCAACTCCGGTGCTCTTTACTGACCCCCTCCCTTTCTCTTTTCTCTTTAAAATCTGTTTTAATCGTCCAAAATCGCGTTTTTGGATCGTTAAAAGAAACTAAGCTACGAGCTAAGCTAACAGGCCAACCTCAGGAAAAAACCTCCATCTTGTCGAAGTTCCAAAATTCACGGTTGAAACCCGTGCCTTCGTGTAAAAAAGTTTTTCTCTGCAAAAAGAAGCTGAGAACTTGTTTACTGATTTTTTTTAAATTAAAAGCTTTGTGTGAAAAATGCTATGCTAAAGAGCTCAAACCACACCGAGCGTCTGCCATTTGGAGAACCAGAAAAAAGGAAAGAGAGACAGCCCATGTCATGTCAAGGAGCATCCCTCCCATTTTTCTTAAAGCGACACGCTGCTCGCTCCCTCGCTATCCATCCTTCGGTTCAGACAGTCTTATACTGCCATCTGGTGGTCAAAAAAGGTACTACACACAAAAATTTACGAGCATTTCTTCTTAAATTTGACAATAATTACAAATTATTGTCAAATTTCAAACAATATTATCATTTATTGCAATAATTTCTGAGAATTAATCGCCCCGCAACATTTTTTTTATTTTTATTTGTTATCGTGACAGGCCTAGCTACCGCACACAATGAACCGTAGCAAACAAACGTCTTTAAGGCAGTTGGTTTTACAGATGTTGAGGTGATGTTTGGTGTGACAGTAGCTTAGTGTCATCCTCAGCATGTACTCTGAGTGCTCAAACGTCTCATAATAACGCCTGAGATCAAGCAAAACATTCACATTGGACCAAAAGGACTACAACTCCATTATTCACATCATTAGATCTTAGTCTACAAGTCGAGTTTTAAACTAAGAAAGGCATCAGGCTACATGTATTCCTTCAAGGAATACTAGTCATTTATGTTTTTTATGTTCTGTAGATTGTTAGATTTAAAAGCACTTATCTTGCACTTGTCTTAGTTTAAGACTTGAGGTGGAGTTTTAAACACACAAGGCTGAAAGCTGCAGTTTCTGGGTAAAATAAATCATAAGATCATCAAACACTGCAGCTTTCTGCAGAACCAGATGTTGATGATTAACTCCACTGAGGAGAAGTAGACTCGTCTGATCAAACTCATGTCAGGTTTCTGCGACCCAATACATGACAGCAGTGAGCACGCACTCTGTTTACAAGTAAACAACCTCTAAAATCAGAGACCATCTGATGTTGATTGTGTAAAGTTTCATGTTTACACGATAATGCTGTGATCACAGTCGCTGTTTAGACGAGGCGTTATATCCGTTGTAGTTTCCATGCCCGGTCACTAGCTGGCGCTGTGATTTTTGTGTTGCAACAACATGGGCATGTGTGCGCACACTTTAGTCTCGACCGTGAAAACAGTTCCTTCCAAAATGAGTTCACATGCCTTTGTTTGGACAGATGGATTTTGTAGGATGTGTGACATGCGTCTGCTGACCCTGGAGGTGGTGTTTAGCACATGCATGCAGTCTTAGGACTGGAAAGGCACAGGTTTGATGCCCTTACACCTCAGTGTCCTTGAGCAAAACACCTGATCCTTATCTGGTGCCCGCCACTCCACCTGTGTGTACCTCACATGTGTGACGGGTCAAATGTAGAGGACATTTGTCACTGAGCACGTACATTGATGCACTTTCACTTCATTTTGAGTGTTTGTCACCAAATGACCAGCGTGCTGTGAGCTACGTTTTAACAGCCAATTTTCACACATCACTGCCTTTTCTACGTGCACAGAGTGCCATGCCCCTCCAGGTACCTTCCTCAGTCCACTTTGAAGCCACCTGTTCTCATTGTTTATGTGATTTAATCTATTGAAGTACCAATCCATCCATCCATCCATTATCTTTACCTGCTTCTTCCTTTTTGGGTCGCGGGGGTCACTGGTGCCCATGTCCAGCAGTCACTGTGTGAGAGTTGAGGGACACCCTGGACAGGTCTCCAGTTCATCACAGGGACACATCGAGACAAACAACCATTCACTCTCTCACTCACACCTAGAGACAATTTAGAGTTATCAATCAACCTAACATGCATGTTTTTGGTCTGTGGGAGGAAACCTTAATACCCAGAGAAAACCCATGCATGCATGGAGAGAACATGCAGACTCCACCCAGAAAGACCTTCGGACCGGGATTTGAACCAGGGCATCCTGCTCGCTGAGAAGCAGCAGTGCTACCAGTTGCGGCACCGTGCTGCCCCTACTGAAGTAAATTAAAATGGTCACTTTTGTACCAATTTTATTAGACGTGGACGTCTGTAGCCTCCAATGATTTCTGTCATGAGCTCCCATCAGTGTCTAAAGGCAACTTTGGTGGTATAGAATTACATTTAAGGAAACACAGAAGAGCTTGAGACCCATTAAACAACTCAATTTTGAGGAAAAATTTGTTGCACAAATTTCTTAAAATGTGTTTTAAAATTCGGTGCCAACTCATGCCAGGAAACTGGGAATCCAAAGTGTCTTAAAATGTTTGACATACTCTGGAGACTCCCTCGCACCTAATAAACAGGCCCAGCCCGGTGAGATACTTGCTGACGGTAGATGGGTGGATGTCACATAAAGAGTCATAGAAACCAACTAGGACAGATGTGCCAGATGAGGCCTGGGGTTAGGGTTCAGTACCATTGTGGACATATAGCAGGTGTTAGCATCATTGGGGGAATGTGCTGTAGATGTGTAAAGCATGTAAAGCTGCAGGCTAACATGGAAGGAAGACAGAAACCCACTTGTTGAGGGATAAGAACATGGCGTCACACTGAAGGACGCTTTCTATCTTTTCTGTGATCAGAAACCTTCTGATAGATTGTGTAGATCCTTAAGAGGTGGTTGTCATCCAGGGTGAAGAGGGTTTAATCCGGTCACCGGGGTTTTTTCATGGCTGCTTGTTCCTTTAATCTTAATTTAAATTCAGTATTTCCCACCAGTTTAAAGAACAAGACACACAGATGACCTGATTCTCACTGTCATGACCAGTTTCCAAGTGTTTCATGTTGAAAGGTTTGTCTGTCTCCAAGAAGTCTCTGGACTGAGTTTAAGCACTTATTTCTAAAATGAATCAATGGTTTGGTTTTTCAAACAAATCTAACCATGGTCTCTGTTCACCTGAAACAACCAACTTCAGTTTTTTTGTCAGATAATTGAAAGCAAAGCTTCAGTCGAGGACACAACCGGCCTGGTGGCAGACGCTGACAGCATTTAACCCTGAGTTCAGTCAGATGACATCAAATAGAAACACATGTTGTCTGCAAGTTTATTTGAAGAATAAACTGTTTAACAGAGAAGATCAGGAGGTTCTGATGATAACGTTGGTCCATCTGACCTGTTAACAGGTGGCCTGAGTGTAAGGGGGTTATTTACAGGAACACTTGTTAGGTTTTTCGTCTTAGGACGTTAAAAATAATTTGGTTCTTTCCCTGGAGTCTGAACTACAGAGCATGTCTGTGGAAGTTTCTGTCTAATTTGTGTTAATGCAGGTGTGATGTGGGCCGAGGTGGACAACAAAAATAATGTTTTCACCTAAAAAACAGTTT